TTCCGGTCTCGGCTCTTTTTCGGAGCCCGAGGAGTGGCCGCCGGGAGCCAGGTGCTACGCTGCGGGTTTGAACCCTCTGCCGGAAGGGAACGCACGACCTTCGCCTGGCGGTCAGCAGTTGCGGGAACGGGTAGCTAGAAGCCGCTACGGAGGTTCACCGTGTAGCTGCAGGTGTTAGGCCAACCGGGAGAAGGCTAGACGGCAGGCTGACCAGCATACAGCACATGTTGTCTTTTGTGTGGCATTGCTTGGTAAAGTTGCTAGAAAGAGATAAACAAATATCTTTTATTGAAGATTAAACGACTTCAGAATCTTTTCCTGTTCTCCTAGGATTGGAGGCTCTCAGTGGCTGTGGTCCATCCTTCCTGTGGGATTTGCAGGGCTGGCTTACTGCATGTGGTGCAAATCTATTGTCCCCTTGAAGGGTCACTGTACCACCGAGTCATTAATGTATTTGCTTGCGCCACAAAAAGCTGCTGGGGGAATTCTGAAAGGTGGGTTGGAGTTTATCTTACCCCATCTCACCATTTGGGGGCAATACCTCTATCTTGTGTTTAAGTGAAACTATGATGCATGTAACTAAGAAGTAATATTACGTAGAATACATCGTATGCAAAGTCTCTTAATATTTTGTACAATCTCATGAAGTGGGTACTCCCTGTTTTTGAGTTTGCAAGTTATACATGAGCGCCTCCCTTGTATGCCAAAGATCTCGGGTGAGAAGGAATATTCCAGAGCTTGTGCCACTTGGTTCAGGAACCCCAGCAAGCCATATACATTTTATTTGTTTACAGGTTCAGTGACCACTTGTTCAGCAATCATTTGAACTTGTGACAGCACTGAACGAGTGGTACTTATGACCAGTCCTTAAGGTTCCTGCTGTTGCAGTGCCCCGTGGTCATGTGATCGCAATTCGGGCACTTGGCAACCAGCTCCTATTTACAATGGTTGCAGCGTCCCGCAATCATGTGATCACCATATGTGACCTTCCCTGCTGGCTTCCTACAAGCAAAGTCAATGGAGAAGCTGGCAGGGAAGGTCGCAAGTCGCTCCCGTAAGTTGCTCCTGCCACTTTTTCTCCCAAGGAGCCCGCTGTGCAGCACCCCCCTGCCCACACTCCATAGTGCACCCCCTCCCAGCCACACTCACACCACAGCACCCCCTCCCATGCCTGCCTGCACTCCAGAACACTCACCTACCTGCTGGCCCGCTTACAAGCCCCCCAGGGCTTACACCTTTCTGCCAGCTTCCCCATTGACTTTGCTTGTGGGAAGCCAGCAGGGAAGGTTGTAAGTCACAGTCACATGAGGTCCTCGCTTAATGACCTGCGATCCTCTCTTATGATGGCAATGGAGATTGCTGGGATTGCCATTGCTAAAAGTGATGCAGTCACCTGATGTCGTGGTTTATGATGGAAATTCCCATCTCCAATTACCATCATTAAGCGAGGACTGCCTGTATGGCTTAGTGTGCTTTGTGAACCCAGCCATTGTGGTTTATAAACCATGGTTTATTTTTAGTGTGTTGAGGTAATCAGCTAATTGTGGTATAATCAATAAAGCAAGCCATGTGTTGTGTGAATACCATGCAAAGCAAGGTGGACTAATGGCCTGGCTTAGAATCAGGTGGCATCCTATATTAGTTCACTCAGTGAGAACATGGGAGAGAAGGAATTCAAGCCACAAATTTCTTGATTTATTCAGATTACCTTTTATACAGATTATATAGATTTATACAGATTACCAGCTGCCAAATCTAGTAGTTACTGTGAAGTACGTATTTAATTTCTGTTCACTAACATTAACTTATGTTTCTCTTTTGCTACTGTCTGTACCATGTTTTTAAAGCTGGAAGGTGCTACGGTCCCAGTATTTGCAAATCCCAAGAAAAGAAATACAAGACTACACATGGAAACAGGTATCATGTGCCAGCGGGAATGTATTCTTTAACCAGTTGCATGTGGCCCAAATCAGCTTTCTGTCTGTGGAAGGACTTCCAGTATAGAAGTACAAGCCTCTGCTGGACTATCAACTAAAAAAATCACTTTAGAATTGGAGCACTGAATGGCCACTGAACAACTGGCTTGAGTCCCAGTGCCAGTAAAACATATAGAGAGAAAGTAGTGCATATATCATTCTGTAGAAACACAAGGGTAGTTTGCAACAGGCTACAACATAATATCTGTAGTCCTCATTAGAATGTATTTAGTATATTTTATTTGTGCCCCTTGTCTCAGTATATCTATATGGAACATTAATGGGAAGACTAACATGCCTTTTTACATCAGGTTCCCAATCTGGATGTCCTCTAGGTGTAAGATTTCAACTTACTAAATTCCCACCAGAAAATTCTAGTGCTGCAGTCATATATGTGGTTGGTGGAAACCAACTTGGGGAAAGCTGCATTAAACAATGACAGATGTTAAAGTCTAGTCATGCAATTAAAGTGATGCAAGGGCAGGCAAACATCCTCTGAAGCTGAAGCATTCAACTATGTATTGCCTCCCCTAAAAAAAAATATTCAGATTGTTGAAAAATGTATCCCTAATTCTTGCTCAGAAGTGTGTTTTTTAATGTGGTACCTGCTACAGTTGGGGTTGGCAGACTTTGCTCTTGGGGGATGTCCTTTGTTTGCTGAAGCAGGATCCAGAAGAGAGTTTAGCAAAAGAAAAAAGAAAAAAGGAATTGTTTATTAGATTTAGAGACCTCCTAACTCTAAATTAACTCTGGGCAACTTACAATTAAATTTTTATAGGTAGTCCTTCGGGTTCGAAGAAAATACACAGTTCATCTGTGAACACAGAGGTGGCTCTGCAGTTCCAGTCTGGAAGCGCAGAGTCTATCACAATGGGGCCACTGGAAGCCCATTGTTACAGTAACTATGGGTGTTATTCTGTGATGTTGCTCACGATTTTCCATCAGTTTTTGGCACCGCCTGTCTTCAAAGCTGGTGTAGACTTCATAGCACAGGGCTCACCAGTGGGTTCTGTCAGCAGCTGCAGCTTCTAGTTCCCTTGGCTGGATGTCACAGTGTCTTTGTAGCGCTTGTGTGGACGACCTCAAAGTCTCTTTCCAGTCTACAATTCACCATAGAGCAACTGGCAAGGCATACAGGGGTCATCCATTCTGAGGACATGTCCCAGCCATTGCATCTGGGCTCTGATAATCAGGGACTCGATGCTGGTAGATTCTGTGCAATCCAAGCCCCTCAGGTTGGAGACATGGTCTTGCCAACAAATGCCAAGGATGGAGCAGAGGGCGCACCTGTGAAATTTCTCCAGTTGTTTGATGCGTTGTCAGTACAAAGTCCAGGGTTCACATCCATATAGGAGAGAAGGGATAACCACAGCTCTGTAGACTTTCAGTTTTGTGGAAATAATGGATGTTGTGTTGATTGAGCACTCTAGTACACAGCTACCCCAGAGCCTGGCTGGCCTAACTGTACCTGGAGTCAATTTCTTTATCCAAAGACCCATCGCTCAAGATGATGCTTCACAAGTATTTGAAGCTGTTTATATTTGTCAGCTGTGTGTCAACAGTGATTTTTGGTTCTAGGAGTTAGACATTTGGCATGGGCTGGTAAAGTACTTCAGTCTTGTTCAGACTGATAGGCCAAAGAGCATAGCAGCATCTGAGAGTTTGTTCAGCATTAACTGTAGATCACTGTCTTTGTGTGCCAGGAGCACACAGTCATCAGCAAAGAGGGTTTCTTTAATGACTGTATGGAGGCACTTTGTGAGTTCAAGCAGCGAAGGTCAAAGAGAGAGCCATCCAATTGGTGCCTGATATATCCTCCTTCCTTCAGACCCTGGACAGCACATGATAACATGCCAAGCAAAGAACAGATTGAACAGGACTGCGAGTAGTACACAACCCTGTTTCACCCCATTGGAAACGGCAAATGCAGCTGACGTATCACCATTGTAAACAACTTGTCTTGTCATTCCATCATGGAGCAGCTGAATCAACTTCATGAATTTTCTCAGGCATCCATAACATCTCAGGATGATCCAGAGAGCCTCCCTGTTCACAGGGTCAAATGCCTTTGTCAGGTCCATGAAGACAAAGTAAAGAGGCCTGTACTTGCCTCATGGTAAATATCATGTCTACTGTACTCCATTCTGGCCAAAAGCCACACTGCACCTCTGGGAGGTTTCTTTCTGAGAGAGTGACAAGTCTGTTCAGAAGAATACAGGCAAAAATCTTGCCTTCGATGACAGCAGTGAGATATCCTTGTAATTTCCGCAGTCTGCTTTACTTCCCTTATTTTTATAGAGAGCCACTATGAGGGCATTGCAGAAGTTGGCAGGCATCTCCTCTGTGAACCAAATGTCTTCCAAGATATGTTGAAATGCCCGTAAGGTGTTTGGGTCTAGTACTTTGTAGATCTCAGCAGGAATACCATCCTGCCCTGTTGCTTTATTTGAGTTCATCTGCAAGATCTTTTTCTTAATCTCATCAGTCTAGGAAGCAGGTCTAGGGCATCTAAGACTGGCTGCTGAGGAATCTGCTGTAAGACATCAGGATCTACTCTGGATGGCCTATTGAGTAGGTTGGAAAAGTATTTAGCCCAGCAGTTTTTCAGTCCTTTCTGGTCTTTGATCAGGCTCAGATAACAGCAAGGGGGAGCATCCTGATTTAGAAGAACCATAAACAGATTTTATGGCACTGAATGTCTGCATAGCATTCCACCTGGTCAGCCTTTCTCTGCCACCACTCGTCCTGCATTTCTTGCAGTTCCACCTGTACTTTGGACTGCAGGTGTTTGTCTTTCTTTGAGACAGATGATGGGTCATTCTGCCAATCTGCATAGGGCTAGTTCTTGGCCTGGAGGGCTGCTGAAATGGTCTTGTGGTTTTCATCAAACCAGTCTTGATGTGCCCAGGTTTTCACTCCAAGTATAGCTGTTGCAGTCTGTGTGATGACATCTTTAAACTGCATCCACTTTTCAGAACAGGTTCCCACAAGCAGTAAATTGTCAAGAGAGTTTTTCATCAAGTACATCTTGAAAATGTTCGACGACCTAGGCCTTGCAGTCTGCCAATGCTGAATGACATTTTGACACTCCTTGGTTGCTTATAATGTAATGGGGTTACGTGCAGGTTGTGATTTGTCCAGCACTCAGCACCTCACATGGCCCGAGTGATGGTGACATCTTTAAAATCACGTTGGCGTACTATAACATAGTCAAGTAGGTGCCAGTGTTTGGACCTGAGATGCATCCAAGTTGCTTTGTACTTGTTTGGAAGTCTGAACATCATGTTAGTGATGCACGAGTTGTGCTTGGCACACTTGCTCAGAAGCAGCAGGCCATTACTGATTAGTTTTCCCACCTCATGTCTTCCAAGGACTTCATCCCAGTTGTCGCTGTCTGTCCCCATCCTAGCGTTAAAGTTGCCCAAAATGATGAATTTGCCGCTGGTGGGGGTTGTCTAAATAGTCTGGTCCAAGTCCTTGTAGAAACCTTCCTTGTCTGTCTGGATTCATGAGAGTTGGTGCATAGATGCTGACAATGGTGATATACTAGGACTTGCTGAGAGGAAAGCAGAACTTTATAATAGGTCCATTTATTCCAGTAGGTAGAGTAGAGATATTCTTCAGCAGAGCAGTTTTGATTGCAAAACCTACTCCGTCAATCCTGTTGTTAGTCTGTGGTTTCTCTTTCCAAAATAATATATGTCCACTCACTAGCCAAAAAAGATTTTAAATGGTAAAGCTTGGGATTTTTTTTCATATTTCTTTTGTCTTGCATCTCAGTCCTGTGCATGTATACTCAGAAGTATACTTGCTGATTTAAACCTGTGTTTTCTTTGCATAAGCTAGTAATAGCATCTGGAGTTTTGATCCCATGCAAATCCTTTAATTCATTGTCATCAAAAACTCAGTTTAAATTTTTGGGACTTCCAGAGGAAGAAATGGTGGACTGAAGATGGCTCTGCGAAAAGTGGAGTCGACAATTGCAGCAGAATGAAGAGCCAGCAAGTAGACCGGCTCTTCGACAATTCCTCTCTGGACAAGGAGAGGATTTGAGATCCACAAGTGCTCCAGACAGCTGCTTCTTGCAACGAGACCTCAAGACAGTGGTCTCCGGTGGGTTTAGAGCTCTGGGAGATGAGGGAATAGCTATGTTGCTTAAACCATGGTCAGCACCTTTGAAAGTTCACATACTTCCTTTTCTAATCATTTGGAAATTGCTTGTTAACTGCTTTTCAGCTATTAAAAACCTTTGGATCAACAAGTTTGACAGTACCGGGTGAGTTTCCTTCGATCCTTAGTGAAAGAAAATTTTAACTACAAGTTTAAGAACTTAAAAAAAATTTTTTTTTTGGAATAAACAGCAAAGGAGTGATTAAAAATCTGGTTTTAGAAAATTACAAACTAAGATTGTTAGAAGTAAAAGGAAGGAATATAGAGTTTATTTGATCAAGGTTAAAATAGGTATGTTGTTATCTCTGGTAACCCTTAATGGACTTTTGCTGACACCAGCACTGAAATGATGATGCTTTATGGATTTATTTATAGATAAGAGATGGGATATGGGAAGAAGAGATCATTTGTTG